CCCGCGCCCGGCTGCTCGCGGGGGCACCCGCCGCGCCCCGAGTGTCAACTTCCGGCTTCCTGGCGTCTCGGCGGCTGGTCCAAGGTACGACCCGCGGCGGCAACTGGGGCGCTGGCTTTCGGGTGCGGTTCGTTTTGAGGGCGCTCGCCCTGGTGGCCCCTAACTGCGCTGGCGGTTGCTTTCAGGCGAGTTTTAATGCCCACCCGGCTGGTTGGCTCAGGACGCTCGCTGCCGGCCGACCGCGGGCACCCCTGCTTCCTACGGCGATCCGCGCCATTGGACCTCGCGGCTGGAGGTTGTGTCTCTAGGTTTACTAATAAAGTCGAGTTTTTTAGAGGTCCCCCCCCCCCCGTACAAATGCACGTTTTTTAACCCCCTTGGAAATGGATGTTGGTTGTCCAACATGATGCCTGGATTCAATGCCCCTGAATTTAAAAATAAAATTTTAAAGCCATAGTGTACTAATGACCTGCAGGTTGCTGTTTGAACTTCATATAATGATCTGTCTTGTTGCTTGGGGGTTTTGCGTGCATTTATAGTACAATCTGAGAAGGGAGTCGTTGCAGATCTAATTAAGATGAAGTATTGCACTAGGGTGGGACGCCGATGGGTTGTTTCTGCAGGGAAAGAAGTTGGAACATAGATGCGCTTCGAAGTAGAAACACGAGCAGACATGGGAAGGGAAGATGGCCATTACCTGCTAAGGGGAAAGGTGTGGGACCGGCCCCTGGGGCCCCCAGAAGAAAAGAGTCCTGCTGATGCCAATTTCCTTGTCTCCATCACAACGGGAACAGTAAAACATTCCTGTATCTAATCTACATTTATCATGGGTATATCGAGAACTAACACTGAGAATCACAGTGAAGTGATAAATGAAATACAGGCTTAAGTGAGTGCTAGACAGTCTGATAGAACAGCCCTTTTTGCTTTCATGAAAACTACACACAGAATCTGGTAGCTTAAAGAAAAATCTATTCCCAAATGTAGTTCTGGAAAGATGGATTAAATACACAAGAGGTCTGGTCCACTGAGAATCACTCAAACTGTCAGAATTACTGTCTGTGAGAACATCAAAATGTCCTATAAAGAGGAGTAGTAAGGTCATCCTTTTTCTAATCTCATTAGGGTTCTAACGTGAAAGATATGATTGTATTTCTGAAACTTAGCGTTAGAACCTTTTTTTTTTTTTCAGGAACACATCAATTTCATATACTCTAATTTTTCAAGTTTATTAGAATGAAGTAAGGGTAAAAAACCCAAAGTTACCCATCCCTCTGTGGGTAAATGTCCAGCCAAACAGGGATGGCCCAAAGCAGGGCCGCTGAGGCCTAGGAAATCTTTTAGCTATCAGAACACCAATTAGCTGTGAACCCAGTTACTTTAAAACAATATTGGATGAAGAAGAGTTTTTAGCTGCCCTACTAAGATATAGAGAAGCAAACTTAAATCACATAATACTGCTGTTGTCATAAGATGACAGTAAATGATCTTAGCAGGTTCTCATCCCACCCCAATAATAACCAATATACACTATTTAGCAAACTTTGAGTTTAGCATCTCACAAGTGATAACAGCATAAATATTTAGCAATAAACTGCTAAGAGTTAGGATTGAAGCTTTTCCCAAAGTAGGTCCCCTATCCTTTATGTATAAATAGCTAATCTGTAGCTAACTTGGAATTTATAGAGTCAATTTGACAAGATTGTGTAGAAATGATCTGGGTTGTCCTAGCTATTGAATATAATTTATTCAGTTATCCTAAAAATTTAGACTTTACACAATCTGATTATCAAACTAGAAAATCCTGATGCAAAGAGGCATTTAATTAACTACAACTTAATATAAACTTAGTTGCATATAAAATAATTAGTGTTCTCAAATTAATGTAAAAAAACTGGAAACTACTCTGCACACATACTAGTTTCTCAACAGTGAATCTTATTTTGAAGTTTAATGGTTTTAAATGTTTTCAAAGGCAGTAAGAGAGAGGAAGGATAGCATACTGGAGTATTAAACAGGCAAACAACTTGGAGGGAGATCACATTCTGACATCTGACTGTAACCAGTCACTCCAGAGATTTAATTTAGTGGTGCAGTTCAACAGTATAATTTTGAAGAAATGAAAGTACAGGTTAAAATGTAAAAGCTTCTCAATCTGATATTGACATCTTCTGTGAGAAATGGTCACAAAGGTTTGTTTTCTTAAAAAATTAACTATTTTTGTGCAGCTTTATGAACAAATGTCTACTAAAGTTACTCACTTGCTAAAGGACTCCATTATGGGGAAAAACGACATGTTACAGTCTTTTTAAATCAACTGAAGCAATCAAAAAATAATTGGTACTAAAGTTCCAGACAGGAAAGAGCTCTTCCCAGGTATGCTGATAATTTTTTTGGAATACCTTTTAGGTATTTTTTTAAAGGCTTATGAATACAAGAGCTGGGGTGCAGGCAGAGGTAGGGGCGATGAGAGGATTCACCAGAGACAGTGGGGGGAGCAGAACAGGCAGATGTGCTGAAATACACTGCTAAGGGGAGCAGCAGTGGAGGCAGGAGAGAGCTGCACCTTGTGAGTTAGCTCCCCAGCCCAAGGGGAATCCCAACTCCTACTGCAGTGGCTTGAGATAGCTTGATAGTATTGTTACCACCAGGGAGGGCCAAGTTTATAGGTTTTAGACTGGGAACTGAGAAGCAATCTGACTTGGCCCAAATTTTCTTTTATGAAGGGAAAGAGAATCCAGAAAGCTTTGGTAGTTATGTGGGGTTAGCACAATCTGGTAAACTGGAAAACCCCTAAATATGCACAGTGGTCTATTTCCCACACAGATGTGCTGAATTCTGAGATGGTATGGGAATCTTAGAGTATTGTGTTGGAAGTTCTAACAAGGTGAAATCTCTTGAGCATTTCGTAGTGTTTTGTATAGAAAATTCTAACTATCAGGAGAGGGTCTGCTACAAATAGAGACTAGTGTCCTCCTGAAGACTGCCACATTTTGAAGTTCTCTGGAGGGAATTTAGAGAGACAGGCTCAAAACCTTCAAAGAGCAGAAATGAATCAGTTTTATAGTCCTTCAGGAGACAAAGACTGCTGTGCCTTCAATCAGAAGCCCATGGGCGATGGAATAATAAGCCAGAGGTGAACAGGGTCTTAATCTTTACAGTCCAGTCTGAATGCAGATAGTTCAATCTTAATTGCATCCAGAGAATCAACCGTTTATCCTTCTACTGGTTAGAAGGGTTGATTCTGCCTAGTAGGACATCCTCTCTACTAAAAGTTAGCATCTGGAACATTTCAAAATTAAAAACTTGAAAATTAGAGAGAAATCTTAAAAGAACCAGAGAAAAAATAGTCAATTTTGAAAAAGTAAGTCTTAATGTAGACTTTTCAACAGAGGAAACATGAAGTTCAGAAGACATAAATGCCATTTCTTAATTGCTGAAGGGGAAAAAAATCCATCCTCATTTCAACTTCTTTATCTAGGGGAAAAGCTTTCAAGAATTAAGTAAAGATGTTTTCAGACACCAAAAGCTGAGAACTCATTGCCAATAGTCCTCTTAAGTAAGGATTTCTCCTTGCTCAGAAATTGATAAAAGTAACAAATTGTGTGAACTCTTATAGACTTGGCACGCTACTGACCAGGTATGTGTATGTATGTATGCACGTACATACACATACGCACATAGATATGTTCATGTGCAAAAATTCCTCCCATATATACTGGGTCTTAAATTTCTGATAGAAAGTCTACTACTACTAGCTACTAAGCATATGAAAATGTTTACATCATTCATCATTAGGGAAATACAAAACTACATTAAGGTACCACTGCACAGCCACTAGGATGATTATAATAAAGACAGAAGATACCAAGTGGTGAATATGTGGGGAAAAGTGCTGGGAATGTAAAAGGACAATCACCGTGGAAATCATTTTGGCAGTTTCTCAAAATTTAAACATATTTACCTGGCAGTCCCACTCACAGGCCTCTACCCAAGAGAAATAAAACCTATGTCCATTAAAAAAATGATAAAAATGTTTAACAGCAGTTTTACTTGTCATGATCAAAAACTAAATACAACTCAGTACCCGCT